AAAGTGTTTGTTGAATGCATGCGACCGTCAAAGTCAACGCAGCGAAGAGATAGTTCATTTAGTTGTGAATAAAGCCGTACCCTTCACTAAACAATGCAAATACCAGCATCAATATAATGATAGCGGTATAAAATTAATATCATTTGTATTTGATGTAAAAATAAAATACACATTAGCATTATGGCCGCGTAAACACAACCAGTAAACGCATTTGGGGTTGGATGACGTGCAAGAGCAAGAGCAGCAGTAGAAGAGCCCGTTGTAGTGATTTGTTTGGTTGGTATGGGCAATGCATTGATCACAGCCGCACCAGCACAAGCATACCGAATTGCTACGGTGAAAAAGAAATGCTTGGGAAGCGAAGGAGAAAAGATTGCATTGTGAAAACGTAGCATTGGTGGCTGTTGCACTGGAACAAGAGTTGAATGTATTTATTCGTTGGTGACACAGATGATATATTAATGTATAATAAGCCATATGGGACCAATTTTCTGGCCAAATGGAGAGATTGTTTTCGGCTTCTTTTTAACATTGTTCGAGAGAGTGAGAGAGGAAATGCGAGAGTTGCGACGAGAGCAGTTCCTTTTTGTCATTCTGCATTGTTGGGTGTTTTTCCTTCTTAATGTTGTTCGTTGTTCGCATAACGATCTTGTCTGTTGTATTCTTTATGGGCCTCCATGTGGAATGTGTGCATGGGCTTATTTTATGGAATCTAGAAAATCTCTCTCTCTCTCTCTCTCTCTCTCTCTCTCTCTCTCTCGGTCAGCATCAAGATCTTTTTCGTGAATGAATGCGTCACAAGATGGAGAGTGAGTGGATGTTTGTCTGGTCGCGTGAGCCGGAAAATAGGCGCATTTCGTATAATAATCACATTTCGGTCAATTTTTGTCTGGAAACGAAGGAAAGATACTTAATCCCTGCATGGGAATCGCATAATTTATGAAAATAGTCATAACCTATGCTAAAGCAAACGTCCAAAAGTGCTGCATCAATACGCATCGAGAGAAAGCGTCATCTTCATCGTCGCCGTCGACCATTCGACACAAGAAGTTGTCTTTTCCGTTCTCCATCAGTCCCGTCCGGTGCGTGCACCATATTTTGCGGTTATTGATGGCAAATACAAGCATATGGCACGACATGTTTGACTTTTGCAAAAGACATAATCGGAATCATCATCAAAACGAAATATCTAAAAACACACACACACATAAACATCCCGAATGAAAATCAAAATATAATCGTAATGACAATGATGCTATTCATTACATTCATTTATTATGTTTGCGTTTGCGTGCAAAATATTTGTTTTGTGGTTTTTACTTGGTGATTTTTATTTATCGCTTATGAACAATTTATCTATTGTTATTTTTTCCCTTCCGTTCATTCACGGTGAGTGTTCACTACCTCTGTCTCTCTTGCTGCTACTTCGGCGGCGGCTGTTATTGTTGCTGTTGTTTTTGTTTTGTGTGCTTGATGTATCTACTGCCGTTTGCGCTCGATCGCTATAAATTATCCGGTTGCTGCCAGGGGCAATTTCATATCACATTGCACGACTTTATTGTTTTTACTATTGATTCGCCCTTATTTGTCATCTCCTTTTTTTCCCATCTGACACTGTGTGCATTCACTGTTCATTGTCTGGCGTTTGTACGCGTACGCATCGAATGTGCTCGCAACAAAAACAGCAGAAAAATTTGTTATTTTTATCGTTATTATTCGCCATTAGTTTGTGTATTTTATATTTGGTTGTGATTTTTATTTGTACGTCGAGGCGATTCAAGCGAGACAACCACAACAGCAAAAAAATGATCGGATTTTGTCTCCGCGCAAAAACCTATACTGGCGATATCGAACCCTTTTTCGATTTTATTACACATTTGGCACGGCTCTCAACTCAATAAATATTTTTGGCGCTCTGGCTGAAAATCATTTCTGCCATTATATTCTCGTCGACGGCGTCGGTTTTTTTTGCTGCTCGGCCATTGTTTCTGTGCATTTACTCTGTCTTTTATATACTATTGCGGTAAATATTTTTTTGATTTGGGTTCTGTGCATGTGTGTATCTCTTCTCTCTTTCTCTCATTTTTTCGGTATTTTTATCAACACGGTCGCCGTGTGAAATGGACCGTGTTATTAGCAAACAAGTTGCCATTTTATCTTTAACCTTTTTACTTGCGTATTTTTTTTCCGTGTAACATATTTTTATGATGCCCTTTTTTGTGTTCTGACGTCCCAATTGTATCATAAAAGAGCGTTTCGCCGAGTGTAATTGTTTTTTTGCGCTCGGATTCGTTCGCGTAATAACCATTTTGTGATCAACTCAAATTTAAAATTGAAATCGGTAAATGAGCGAAAAATGTGTACTCTCTCTCTCTCTCTCTCTCTCTCTCTGAAAAAAGAGAGAGAGCTCTATCTGTCGATGCTATTAAGTTTCACTCGCAATTCCATAAATCAACTTATTTTTATTAAGCAGATCCCAAATAACCAATGCCAGTAATTACAGTTAAACTGTCGGCAAAAAACACACACACCAACCAGATACTTCTAGGCGCTATAATTTATTTTATTCACACAAAATATAAATAAAGATCATCCCAAGAAATAAGCGCGAATTCGAAAACTCGCTCGCATTTCGACGGGCGAAATTTATAAGTGAGATTAAATTTTTAATCACTCAAAACTTTCAAAAAAAAATCTCTCTAACTAAATGATATTCGATTCCACATTTTCAACAATGAAATAAATTTGTGACAAATGATATCGTCGCAAGCAAAGAATTTATTCAATCATTTGTTTTGCAGTCGTAAAATTTGGCACTGTAAATTTGTTACGATTAGCAAAATCACTGTAGAAATACCTCGGTGTGATAAATAATATCGAAAATTTAGAGACAATACCAAAATAAATACAGACGCACGCACAAACACATCATCGCCGCCGATTTGCTTATTGCCAGTGCGTCCTTTGAACTTTTATAAAAATAAATTTCGGGCAATAATATTCAACGGCAAGAACGCATCGTCATTTTTTTCTTCTCTCGTCATTGCATGAATCATTTATCGGAGCAAAGCTCGCGCGCGTTCATTCTTATCTCTAGTTTATTTTCATTCTCCTTTTTGTTTACACCACTTTGCGTATAAATTAGTTCTATTTTGCCGATTTTCGAAATTAATTGTCATCAAAAATAGCACGAAACGTGACAAACGCTGAATTTTTTTCGGTTGTCGTCCCGTCGGCAATTCCATTTGGCATCCGTGTGCTGCATTCGCGTAGGCAATGTCGCGCGCGCGCGTACCACATCGTGTAATTTATGTGTTGAAACATTCCAAATATTCATGTTTGTTTGCAATAAATTTCTAAAACGGAACAATCTATGCGACGGTGTGTTGATTTGACTTTTGATCGCACATATTGTCTCCTGCTGAATGTTCTGTGATATTTGATGAACATTGTTCATTGAACAAGAAATCGTCTGAATTCAAAAATTCATGGATTTTCTTGTGCATTTCGTATTTTAAGGCGAAAAATATGAAACTCTGTTTATCATTATGTTGATTGAATCAAAAGCTTTAAATAATTCAAATATTTCACACTTCTTTAGCTAGCGGAAAACTTTCGACCAACTTTTCTTTTTTTTATTTCTTCCGACCGAAGTATCATCATAAAATTAACATTTAAAAAGACATTATGTTTTTAGTGATACGAGGACTATGTAAAATAAAAGTGAAAAAAGGTCTTTATTTTCAGGGCGTTTATAAAATCATCGAAGAAAAAAACAAGACAGAGTTTCTTGAGTTTTTAGTTACTTATTCTATTGTGTTGTTTCACAACAAAATATTTTTTGGCGCACTACATGAAACGCATTTCATCAAAGTAACTTGAAGTAATATATTTATTTGCAACAAAGCACAGAAAAAAGATTTCCAGTTATTTCAAAAATAAATTACAAGATCTTGGTTTTATTTCTTTTTTGAAATATACTGCCTCTGGTTTGAATTGAATAAATAATATGAGCATAAAATTCAAATTCACCATAATTTGTTTCAGTACTCAAAAAATATTAAGAAAAAAAAGCAGATTAGTAGCTCTAAATTTTATGTAGTGCTAAAAACAAGAAGTTTTACATCAGTTCCAACTGTTGTTGCTCGAGCCGATATGTGCACATGCAGTGAGAGTTTATGTGAAGAAAAAAGGGCCGATGCGATGTAAAACATGTGCACGCTTTTGCCCTAATGTGCGGTATTTCATTTTTACCATTCGGTGCGTCAAGCGAAAAGAAGAATAAAAAAAAGTGTCAGGGCATCTCATGTGTACGACATGAGAAAGGCAAGACAAAATAGAGAAATAAAAATGCAATAAATTTTCTCCGAGTTGACAGAGTCGTTAGTTGCTATCAGCTACTGGTAAATGACATTAGAATGCAAAGCACATACGCTGCTTAAATGAAATGAAAGCAAATAAATGTCCAGAAACGGAATGCATTCAATTCCAAAATGAACGCACCATAAAACGCGTGAATTATTGAATCTGGAGAGAAGAACAACACCTGTCAGACAAGCATAACAAATTTGTTTCTACGAAATTACCGATAAACGACGTATGTCAACACATTCGTTGAATGCCAAGCATTGGCCAACGATCATTATGGAATAATTACCCGTTAAATAAACCAAAGAATCGTTGGAATTTGGTTGGAACAATCAAAGAGCAATTGATTGGCATTAATGAATTGGAATGGGTTTTCATTTGCATTAATGGGTTTTATGGCTTGAAATTGAGGAATTTTATGGAACATCAGAAGAAAATAACCGTGCAAGGAAATTGTGTTGACTTTGAAACATTTGGCGTTTTTTTGTTTTACATTTTTCCATTCTTGATGCCAAATAAGAGATTTCTTGAGCATTTTCCTTGGAACAAGCGTATTGCTGATCCTTTGGATTTCGATATTGTCCATGCCTTAGAGTAAAATTTGATCGCGAATCTCTTCTGTTTCTTTGCAGTCTGGGCTGAAACAGGTGATTTCCGCGATAATAGCCACAGTTCGATGACCAGCGTCGCAAACAGTCTCGATATCAGTCAGCTACATTTCCAACCACCAACAAACCTACGGAACAACAAAACCAGAGACCGAAAGGCTGACGGTAAGCTATTCTTTTCCGAATTTTTTTCTTGTGTTCTTTGTAGGAAAATTGCATTGAATTATAATCAAACATGAAAAAAAAACAAATCCAATTGATTTAGGCAATCGATCGTTGAACGAGCCAAATGTGAAAGTGGAGAACACCAATTTAGTGATACACGATGAACAAATTGTGGGTAGTGAGGAAACGAAAAATGATAAAAAGAATAAGCGACAGCGTCGCCAGCGAACCCACTTTACATCGCAGCAATTACAAGAATTGGAGCATACGTTTAGCCGAAATCGATATCCGGATATGTCAACACGTGAAGAGATAGCAATGTGGACCAATTTAACAGAAGCTCGAGTTCGGGTAAGTACTTTAATCCGAATGGCTTTGCTTGGATATTTTGTTAGGCAGTTACTGTTGCGCATCGACGTCGCCTGTTCCCGTTGCCCTTGTATTCACTCATTCCTGCTCTCTCTCTCTTTATCTCTGAGGCAGACACATTCACTCTCTCGCTCAAAATCTCATCGAGACAAACACACCGACCGTCTGTCCGACGGCGAATCCAAAAAATCATGGCCGATACCAGCAGCATACAGTGGATACATGCCATTTCTATCTTTTTCATAGCGCATTTTTCGTCATCATTTTCATTCATTCCTTTTCAACGGAGTGCACCCAACAGCCTGGAAATCCAAATGCGATTTGGCATCCATTTTGCCACACTTTGATTTTTTACGTGTTGAAAGTTTTTCCACTCGTTTTCATGCCACGGCGAAGACATTGATTCACAGGCGCTCAATAGCTTTGAGCCGGTATTAAGTTGCATTAACCTATTCGAAATGAATCTCCAAAATACTTTAATACTGGGGCAATTTAAATTTGAAGCCAAGACAACAACAACACAAAAAAACATAAACAAAATTGATTTGTTTTCTTCTTTCGCTTATTTGTGTGTCGATGTGAGCGAATCTAGGTTGATTGTGCATTAAATACTTGAACAAATAAATCGATTTCATTAGATTTGGATTTGGATGAAGGTTAATCAAATGTCATCTGTATTCATCACCTAATCCGCAGTGACTGTCTCAGTGCCTTTGGCTACAAATGCGAATGCGACACTTTCTCTGTGCTGCTGTGTGTGTTTTTTTTCATTCGTTCTGGGAACGAATTTTTTTTCATTGCCTTGTTTGATGAAGACATCATTTAAATGTTATTTCCCAGCTCATAATTTTATATTCAACGATAAATAAATGAGCATTTCATTATGATGAACGGCTCTTCAGCCTCGACCGAGTCTAATTGATTTTTACGCCAATTATCAATGGCTTAATCGGCCTAATTCTATGGGAATTCAACCAAATTTTGTGCAGCTATCATTTGTTAAATATCACTTATGCTGCCTACAAATAACATGCATTTAAATGGAAACCCATACACAAGACGGGAAGAAAAACCTAACTGCCGTGAACTATTTGAAAATGGATTTAAACTTGTGCAGTGTTTTAGTTCCGGCTCATTATGAGCCGTGCGATCTGTTTCAGTATCATTTGAGCAGAAAATTACCAATAAATGTTGAACACGCGCTACACACAAAGCCCCCTTTCGGAATATACTAATGTGTGTGTGTAATGGCCGCAGTGTGTGGAAATGAAATGCAACCATTATTAACTGTGTCGTCATCGTCGCCGTCGCCGTCGAAGCAGATTTAAATAAAATTATTGGCGTGACATAAATATTAGTTTTGCACGTGCTAATTCGTGTCGAAATCTAATTTGAATTCAAATGGAATTTTCGCGGCAAACACACACGATTTATATCGTAATGATTTGGGGTTCAAATACACGTAAACACAAACATGGGATCAAAATGTTCCACTATTTTATTGTGCTAATGCGCGCGACAGGCACCCGCACACCGAGATTTTAGTTTAATTTTTACTGTTTTCATTTAGCCGCCACCACTGCCGCTGCTGTGTGTCTGTGTTTTTTTTCTAGGCTACGTTAAACAAGCAGCACGTGCGTATAACGGGGTATTGGTGCGTCGATCGATGATGATGCAACCAACCACAAAACAATGAAAAAGTGAATGCACAGCAAAAGCAAATAGAAAATTTTATGGACTTTTTTTATACTCTCCATCTCACTCGCCCTCCTTTGCTTGAATAGTCGTTCTGCATCCCGAGCCGAGAGATTATTTACCAAAAATATTTGAAATCATTCAGCATGTTTTAGGATTGTTTGCGAGTTTATGGGTGCGTGCATTCGAACACCAACGAAATGAATGTCGGTTTATAAACTCAATTTATGTTCACTATAATTTACAGAAAATTTACCAATGTATTTATAAAACCGGTGTGTCATTCGTTGTTTTGTCGGGGTGCACAGCTATTTTGCAATATTGACACTGACTCGAAAATGTTTTGTGTATGTGATGCTTTTACAAAATTATTATGCCCACAAGAATACTCACATGCAATGTACGCTGGCGTGTTGTTTTTGCAACATGGAATAATTTTTTGGTCTGACTGGGAGTTGCTTTTCGATCGAGTTGTGTTTCACCAATATTATGATTATTATTGAAATTGATGTAAATACCGGATTACAAAGTTAATCCGGAAACAATGCATGCGCTCGTGTATCGAAATCAGCATATCGAAACAGTGACAATTTATTTCTGTGGTAACTGGTTAAAATGCACTACAACCAAATAGAGGAAGAAAAAACATCACCCCTTTGCTCATCTCGTTTTGTGAATCATGATAGCCGACCAAAACATTATCGTAAATTCAAAATGAATGTGAAAACATATATTTTTTTATCTAACCAACCATTTGGTTCGTTTGAAGGTTAAGATATTTGGATTCGTAATCGAAATTTATGTCGAATTTTTCTCGTTTTCTAAATTGGATGTCTTCTAAGCCAATTACTTCATCATCATTTCCCCATGTCCGGTAAAATCGATGAAAAACTCAGTGGCGTTGTTGTTGTGGTGCAACCACTTTTATTGAAAATATCGTAATTTATTTGTTTCGCATTGAATTTTCGGCACATTTATTACGCATCGATAATCTTGATTGATAAGTGTTTTCATTTCTAATCTGCCAAACAAAATTGTGAACAGCTCGCGAACGCCGCTATTATTCGTGACATGAATGTTGACGGTGATATGCACATGTCGATTTTCCCTCGTCTGAAATCGATAAACTTTCAATTAACATGTGACAAATTTATTATGGCCAATAAAAATAACAAACGTCAATTTCCATTCGATTGAGTTAATCGCGGGTTTAGAGTTGTGTGATGTGGCGAAAAATTCCCGCAGCATGGGCTATATCTCTGTTGTTCAACAAAAACTACTTTGGTATAGTGTAGCGAACGCATTAAATGGCATTTAAAAGAACAACAACATCGGTAATAAATGCAATCATTTAAACGATAAATTGAAGTATTAGTTGTTGCGACGGGATGAAAAGAAACGAAGGAAAATAGAAAAATCGGTACGCATTTTGCCTTCTAGAGGCCATGCTCTCTATTCTATGCTCTCTCTATGCCATGTGGCATGTAGCTCTTTTCTTTATGACGTCTATCTACATGTAATTACATGGAAGTTGTGTGCGTATGAGCCCGCACGCGCACCACTGCGTAATACCACATAATTATTTTTGCACCCCGAAAATTATTCATTTATAAATGGATATGGAAAAAGTCCGTCATTCGTTCATTCATACGATGTGTGTATACAGAACACTCATCGATGGGTGGCAACGATGCACAAGATTCTAAATGAGTTTGCCAAAACAAATTATACAGACGAAAAGAGATTTTCGGTTGCAGAATATCGTTAATAAGATATCGCGAACGCAGCAGAAGCGCAACTCGCACTTATACATACGTACACACACTCACAAACAATCTCCTCCGCTGTTCGTTTCGGCCGTTAATCTCATCAAGTTACACAAAGTGTAATTTTCTTTTTGGCTGCGAGATAGAGAGAAAACGTCAAACAACCCCTTTTGCACAAAGTTAATCTGCTTTATGGGAGCTAATCTCGTCATTATAAAATCAGCCGACTGTAAAAGAACAGTAGGACATTTTCATTCTATCGGAGATATCGCAGAGAGTGACAACTAAATCTTGCAACTCGGTCGATAGTTTTTGAAGGAGGTTTTCGCCGTTGCCGTCGCTGTCGTCGGCGCCGCAATCAAACCGATGCTGATGAGCCAATGAAATGGCTCTATCATAGAAATGCCAACAAATGGAAAACATATTTTATTGAATGTTCCAATAATTGTTATGACACATACCACAAGCTATCCGCTTGCAAATTGCTCACTCAAATTCCCTCAGCGGGCAAACCACAATTTTGGGGCATCGCTACAACTTAGATATACATACAATTTATTACGATTCACATCTAATTGAGATAGTTCGTAAATCTTTTAATGACTACAAAAGTAAGCTTCATTCCATTGGACAAACGAACAGCAGAAGAGATGCAATGAATTTCCGAGATAATTCAATTATCGTCATTAATGACTCCTGTTTGTGTGTTGCGCAGCTAAATGGAGTAAAAAATTGCACAAAGCGAATAAAATTAATTGTCGCCGTACAAACATTTGATGTATGACTTGCTATCTAAAACAATTATTCCATTATTTTATGGTTGTCTAATGTAAAAAATTAACATCTCTCTTTCATGTCTCTCTCTCTCTCGTCTTAGTTCTTAAAATGGATTTATTAATAGCTATTCTTCAGCGACTCGATGGAAAATTTTCAACAGCGTCACTACTCCAAATACTCGACTCGCTTTTAATTTAAAATCATTGATGCATCGCATTTTTTTCTTTTTCTTTTGGCTTTGCTTGCCTATCGCCGTGAATTACCTATTTCACGAGTCGCGACATGCAAGCTATGAAAATTCCCTATTTTCCTTTCGGAAGTAAGACAGACAGTATCTGTTGGTGTGCATCTCGCTCACTCGCTCGGTCGGTGACGACCGATACAGACGGTGGGGGAGAGAAAAGAGCAAGGAGGTGGTCTTAGCTTGAATGAACATTGACTGACATTGGCATTATTTCTTATTATTGAATGTATTGTTGGCTGTTGTCATGGTTGGTATCCCATTCGACGATATGCGTGAGTGTGCGTATGCTCGCGTCCGCTCTTTCTATCTCTCTCTCTCTCTCTCCCCCCCTCGCACTCTCTCCGGAGAGATAGATCGCAAAAGTAATTTATTTCGACATTTTCTTTCCATCGATTACCGAAAAACACATCCAACAACCGTGTATCATTTTGCCTCTGATGAAAGAGAGAGAGAGAGAGAGTTCGCCGGGAGTGTGAGTTGAACGTCGCGCGGTGTTTATTATTTGAAGTGCACATTCACAGACCGAAAGAAAAATAAAAATAAAAAATAGACGAGACCCATATATACGTACGCGTGTGCTGAATGTTCAAATACACTAGAAAAAACGGAGAGAATAATATATTAAAATATATCTAGTATTCCAAAACGCATCCGCCATTGTTCAAAATGAGCGTATGCGATGCGCACTTCGTGTTAATACACATACATACACTCTCCCACACATACACATTGTACAGTCGTCTCAGGCGATAGACAGTTGGCTGTTCTCTTTCTCACAATTTTTCTCGCTCGAGCCGAACCATCCACACAGCAGTGGCAAACAGCATCCTCTCTACTATCAATTCAATCAACCACTAAATACTAAACGTATAATAATGTTTTCGTTTATGTGCGCATCCATGTGTATAATTGTGTGGGGGAAAATGAAGATAAACGACATTTGCTATATGCTTAGAGAAGCGTTACCCGAATGGTATCGGCATTCAGTTTTGGGAGGGAAAATGGGCGAATGAGAGTGAGCGAGAGAAAGGGAGCAGGGGAGAGATAGAGGAAGGAAAATGTTAAGGGAAAAAAAAACATCGAGAGAAGAAAAAAAAAAACACGAAGAAAATTCTGAAGGAAGCTTCAACAACATATTTATTATGTTGCTTCCGAAAATACACACAAACGCACAGTCTCGGTTTGGTCTGTGCGTATTTTTGGGACGAAGCAGATAAAATGAATTGGATGTTTTTCGGTATCTTTGCACGTCGATTGCTCCATCTTCATTTGTTTTGCTGTTTGTTTGTTTTTTTGCGGCGAAACGATGATAATGCTGCCAACTCAAGTGGCACGCACATTTCATATCTGCGGCCGAGCGAATGTTGGAGAGTAAATAAGGAACGAAGGATTGTCATTGCAAGCAAACTATGTAAAAGCCACCATTATATCGTTTATTTACTCAACATGAAATGTCATCGTCATCATCATCGTTGCCGGTACGCATTATCGTAGTCACAACACGCAGCACACACACTCACACAAAAGGCACACAGAAAATGGATGAGTTGGATCTTTTGCTGTGTGTATAGCAAAATATTTCTCTCACTGTTTTTCGTTCCATGTCACTTGAATATTGCTGTTGTGTATGTTGATCATTATTTTGTTGGTTTTTGACTAAATGGGGAGCCAATTTATATACATCAAAAGCACACACAACGACGGAAACAGCAGAAAATGGGCAAACACTATTGTTTATTCGCATCATCCATTCGTGGACCCATCCATTTGCCTGCCTTCATTACATAATATTTGTTTAACCCGTACTGACATTCATATAAATATTACAACATTGTGCACGAACCGCACACACACACACACACACACAAACTCGCTCAGTCACTCACTCCCTCCCCATCTGTCTCCCATTCTCTTGGCCGAAGATGAACGACCCAAGAATTTTGATAAAATATTGAAGCGCATCCCTGCTTAAATATTCAACAATATGCCAGCACGAAAAACGTGTCGAAGAATATGAATTTATGAGTAAATTTTGCCGGAGCCGTACAGTAACAGCATCGGCATCAGTGGCATAGTTTGTGAAGCAAACACTTTCGTCGAACCGATGAAAATTAAACGAAATAGGAAAATGCGAGAGAGAGAGAGAGAGGAAGAGAAAAATGTATCTGCATTGCAAAATATAGCTAGATCTAAATTAGAATTTATTATTCTGTTTCGCCCAGCCGATAACAAAGACTAATTTCACAATGCCCCGCCGTCACTATGCTATTCTATAGCATTTCAGCCGAACTGAATTTCAAGCGAAAATTGATGAATAAGTAAACTTCCTATAAAATTGTCTGATCTTTTTTTTCGTTTTTTTTTTTGCTTTTTGACGCAGGTCTGGTTCAAGAATCGTCGAGCAAAATGGCGTAAGCGTGAGCGCAATGCGATGAATGCAGCCGCTGTTGCAGCAGCCGATTTTAAAAATGGTTTCGGCACTCAATTTATGCAACCGTTCACCGATACCGATGCGTTGTACTCATCATATTCGCCGTACAACAATTGGGCTACAAAAGTACCATCACCATTGGGAGCAAAAACCTTTCCATGGCCAGTGAATCCATTGGGTTCCGTGGTGACTCCGAACCATCATCAAAACTCTGTGAATTGCTTCAACACATCATCGTCATCGGTCAATATGAATTCGACTGGAATGTTGGCCGCAACTGGTATGAGTGCGCCGTTAACAGCAACACCAACAGCAGGTACATCATGCCCGTATACCGGTGCCGCAAATCCATATTCGATGTATCATCGCACACCGGCCGAACCATGCACGGCCATGTCATCCAGCATAGCCACACTACGATTGAAAGCAAAACAGCACTCGTCTGGTTTTGCAAGCCCATATTCAGCGCCGTCGCCGGTATCAAGGTCCAATTCGGCCGGCTTATCCGCCTGTCAATATGCTGGCATCACCGATGTGTGAGATAACGGTTTCGGGGCCATATCGAATATATTTTCGAATCCTTCATTGTATTACATCAACAACAATATGAAATTCAAGCAAGAATCAGACGATGGTCCCATGACATTGACATCATCCAAGGAAACTGACGACGAGGATGCTGTTAATGCTGACAATATTCCAAACTAAACAATACACCCATTTATCATACAGACAGAGAATCAAGCAATAGAGTATTCATCGTTTCCACCTCAAACCGATTTCTGTTAAACAATCAACCAACTTTACGTGATTCGTGTTCCATTCGTGACTTTAAAGTTGAATGAATGCTATAAAATAAATGACATTTGGAAGGTTTCTCCATACACCAAAAAGCTTCAGTACAGTTATTAGGTTTTGCCGCACACACTTATTCCTTCGTTTGGCTTGTTCGAATTGAACGTAAAACTGAATAGGATAGAACAGAAGGAAAGAGAGAAAGAGAAAGAGACTGTCTGAGACAGAGACAGAGGATAGGAAGGTAGGGAGAGAAAAATATAATTTTTGCGTTTAAGTTAGAGTTTAACGTTTTCAAAAATGAAGAGAAAAAACTCACTCAAAATAAAGTTGTATGCATTTTGTGCAATTTAATTAAGAATGTTTGAATGCAGCGACTGTTCGCTATATATAAAATACATTTGAACAAACACAACATGGTTTGCTCTATTTAGTTGTAAAGTCTAGTCTTATTTTTCATTTCAATGCCATTGATTTATTATTTAAGATGAACAACAAGTGAATACATTCTTTTGTACAAGCACTGGCCCAGCATACATTATATATAAAGAAAATATTACACCGATTGAGGAAAAGATGCGAGAAAAAAAGAAAAACCATTTGAATACCTTCAAATCCTAGTGTTAGAGAGACGTTGCCAATAAACATTAGCGCATAAGTTTTTCTTTTTTGAGTAAAACCAAAAAAACCAAACAAAAAACTGAACTTGAGTATAATAATGAACGGCTATTAGATTTTATTGGTCATGGCATATTAGCGCCCCAACATTGATTACACTCTATTATTATTATATTAAATAATAGGCCAGCCACTAAGTGAAATTACCATTAAAGAAAAATTCATGTATGATTAGCTGTAACATAAGGGTCATCCAACCTATCATCATTTAGTATTTATACCCGGGAGTAAAGTGGAAAAACCATTGGATTTTAACTATTACCATTTTAAGCTAGCAGACAAGAACAACAACAAAAATTTACAAAAACAACAACCTGTAACTTAACAATTATTCTGTAATCTTTTAAATGTCAGATTGTGTCAGATTCACTAAAAACAAATCACACACACACACAAAAAAAAATGAATGACTAATCAATTTTTAAGCAACTAAGAATTTCGACGTACATTTTAAACGGGCCGATGAAGAGAATGAACAAAAATGAGTTAGTTCTCAATGCATAGCAATTTAAGCAAATCAATCTATAAATTATGGATGTAAATCTAGGAAAAAAAGACAATACTTAATCGTAAACTATCCAATGTGTGAATGTTTCCATGTCATTTGTTCAATCGATTGATTTTTATTTTTGGTGAAATGATTCAAGGCAAAGACAAAGGCTCTCGGAAATTTGTGCCTACAACGTCAAAGCAATTGACATTTCAATGCTTTTAAGTCAGTAGAACGTCAATGCTGCTAATGACATTGACGTTTCAGGCAAAAGCAACATAGGCGATTTTTGAGAGCCGTTGTATAATTTGATAATATATAGAAGAAAAAACTAGAATGATGAATGTGAATTATCTGAAAATTAGCATTATGTTAATTAAAAACAGATAAAACTAATCGTCGCATTGCAGTTTTTTTTCAATCACATAGTTTGCGCGCTTTCGAGATAATAAAAAGAGACAGAAAAGCGAAAAAAAGAAAAGAAAACGGCCGCTTTGATAAAAGAGGAATGTCTCGGTGTGTGTGTGTGTGTGTGTGTGTGTGTGTGTATATAATAATGTCAATGAGTATGAATGTGTAGTTTTTGAACGGGAGTGGCAGAGTTGTTTCTAGAAAGCGAATGATTTGAATATTATTGTGCGGCACATCGATAAAAAGCAAAACAGTTTTATTTGATCGGCTCTCACAAACAGATCGGAAAAACCACTGAAAAATGAACCTTGACATTTTTATTGGGCGATTTTGATGATCCGATGAAACGACGATTATTTTATTGCATTAAAAGGGAAATCTTTGGGAAAGATACCGATGGCAAGGCAAAAGTTCAACCAATTAATCGCGATTATATGAACAGTATTTGACACACATTTAACTCTTTCTTATCTGGGATGATTAAAAAAAATCTTTTTGTTCAACAGAAGACAAAAGCCCGTACAATAAATGGATGAATCAATTTAGAAATAATAATCAATGCATTGCGTTGCTTCATTACAAAAAAAAAAAAATATTTACAAATGTATTTCCTATAAATATGGTATACTTCCTTTACAATTTATTGAATTAAAACAAAATAACTAAATTATTTCCTTTGTAGATACGAGAAAGGAAGTTCTATTAGTATATTGTATGAACCATTGCAAAAAAAAAACATACACAAAAAATGAAGAACAAAACCCAAATCTTACAAATATTTAACAATGTAATGATGCTAAATTAAATACCAAATTAAAGATTCAGAGTAAATTAATAATAAAATGAGAAGAAAAAAATCCAAAAAATCAAAGTGGTTTTAATGCGATGAAGATCCTTCTTCCGTCCCTTGGCTGGTAAATAAGAATGCTAATCGAATCAGGATATGGTGATACTTTGAGCGGATTTCCGTGTTTGACCACCTTGGCAACGGTGCATGTACAATGTGCATTGTGCATCGGTGTCGACCACCACACTAGTGGCTGATTTCACCACTTCCCTTGGACAAACAACAACATGGTTTGCTCTATTTAGTTGTAAAGTCTAGACAAACACATGCATTGCGCCACTAAATTGTAAAATCCGATTGTTTCTTTGGAAAAGTGTTAAAGAAAATATTTGTTTTGTTTTGTGTTGTTCTACCTACCGCATAGAATAGACAAAATTCGGCTCACACATGATCAGCAGCACGAACAATGGGAAAACAAAAATTAAAAGAAAAACAACAGAAATATCTGCAGTGGAAATGGCGAAGAGAATGGGTGTATAAACGGTAAAACAACCAAACTAAACTAAACTAACATTCACACCAAATTTATTCATAATATCGCATTAATCGCATCCTATTTATTATTCACCCCAAAAGCAAGCGGAGAGAAGACACCAGAGCAAAAAAAAGTGAATCGTTGTCGCGGAGATGAAAATGGGCACAATGAAATAGGCTGTGTAATAGCTACTGATATTGCTGTTGTTGTTGTTGTTGATGCTATTACGGGGCGAATGAAGTTCGCATTTTTTACTCGGAACGTGCATGGTGCCAAAGCAATAACAATGTGTACATTGCCAAGGGTGACGAAACTGTAAGCGGTAGTTTGTAATGTGGCTGTGAAATTGCCGTGATTTAAAAATAACAAACACGATTCAAATACACTCGCTCTCTTTCGTACACACACGCGCCGTGTGCCCCGTTCGAATGATTGAATGGGAAAAACAAGTTTTTGTTTACGAATTTCGGTGTTGCTGCGAATATTTTCTCCGAATGCAATGCGTTCAATAGACATTTACATTTATTTGTTTTGTGATATTGTGCACACAGTGAGTGAGTGTGTGCGTGCATGTTCGAATCGTTGTCGCGATTCATCGTCGGCCCATATTTGACACATTGGCGTATGGGTGCGTGCAGCATCAAATGATTGCGGGCTGCGGTGGAAAAACTTAATCAAAATCACAGCGTTCGTCCCATTTTCGTTTGCCGTTGCTTTTCATTAATTTCATCATTTATTACACATTGAATTCGCACACACTTCCTCTCTCGTCTACACTTTATTTGAAAATAGTTTACGGTTGCAAAAGGAGCAAATAAAGGCGAAATGAAATGAGAGAAAAAATAACAACAATGACACGCACACGCTACTTTTGCACGATCTTCATTTCAGCCCCCTTCGCATAGCGCAAAGCATCTCAACATTTTATTCCGCACAATGTGTGGGATTAGCTTTGTTTTTATAGAATTATTCATATAAAATGGCAGTAGAGAAACAGCCGCCCCGTAAACGAGTCGAAGGCAGGAGCGAGACGGAGTGAGAGACGTGAAAACAAGTTGCAATGCGTGTTTTTTTCATTTCTATCGCTGCTATTCATCAGTTACTTTTATGGGGCGATGCGACCAAATTCTTTGTTTGCTGCCACACTTCTTCTTGGTGGCTCTTTTATTTGATGCTCCCTTGGATCATGCTGCTAATAAAATGGCCGCTAATATCTAATATTATTTAATGAACATCATAAAATGTGACTAGATAAATAGAACAAGAGCGCAAAAAAACAACACACACACAACGACAACGACAACAACAAGCGCGAGCGCACACAATGACGAGCGAAAAAAAAACAACAACAACTATGACAATGGAACGACATTGCAATAAAGAAATAGGAAAATGAAATCGTAAACACGAAGCAAACCGCCAGCGTTGCGCTGCCGGTCTCATTCACCAAAAGCCAACAAAGCGAAAAATGACATCGACAAATAGAATTAGCCATGCTTTTGTTCTTTCAGCGCTCCACCAAAAAACATTCTTCATTTCGTCTTGATTCATTGCGCCAAATTATTTTCACTCAAATCCATCGGTGGTTCCGGCTCTTTTGCTTTATAATTTATGACTGCTGCTTTAATATATTTTTTCGGCGTTGCAAAATGAAAAGAAACAAAAAAAAAATCCAAAATCAACATTTCCTTGTGGCCACAATTCTAAAGTTATATAGTTTTTGATGAGATTCGGGTTTGTTTTCTCGTCTCATTTCCGTTGTTGTTTTGAGAGGAAAGAGAAAAAAAAACTTTGTTCATCGTTCATTGGCCAGCTGAATTGATGTTCGTAAAAATTTCGTTTCTCATTTTCGGCGAACGATTTTGATCTGGCTGACGTTTTCTATTCGAAAAGTAATTTTCTGCATGAGTTTCATTCAGTTTATTGCAAAACGGTTATTTAGAATTCATCTCATCAGCTGAGCCCGAGTGGCGTCGACATGTTGCCGTCAATAAAAACGAAAATTGATTCGATTTTTGCCCTTATGTTCCACATTTACTTGCAATCGAGAATGTGTTCGAGACACCGTGTTATGGACGCTGAGCGAGCGACCGAGCGAGAGAGGAACAGAGAGGGATAGAGAGAGAGAGAAATCGTTAAATGGTATCAAATTTATCAATGGGACCATACAGCCAATGTAAATACATTGATGACAGCGTATGAACTTTCTTTTAAAACTTTACGAATAAAGCGTGGCGCCACTATCTTTCCCAAATATATCATTGAAGTCAATGGAATACATAAGAGTTCAAAAGCGCAGCGATAGATGGCACCTCTATGAATCCTATACGCAGCTTACTAACTGAATATGGCCCATTTGAAATTTATAGTGTATTTATCTGGTGAATGGCATTCAATAAAAGAAAAAAAGGCGAAGTAAATATATTCTCCCCGGCGATACATAATTGCAGAGCCAGACCCCAGGATGAGCAAAAGAATGAATGAATTTTCCCTCCAAATAACTGATTACTGTTTTCGAATAATCTGACATCAAATTTTAAACTAGATCCGATTTATCAACATTGGTTTTTAAACTTGAAACCGAAACAAAAGACTTGCATACCGCCCCGAATCTCGACGAAGAACAAAAGTGAGATGAACTGAATAATGCAAAGAAAAAAAAACAGCAACAACGAAATGTTAATTGATGTAATCAATCATAAAACCGCATGCGATGGTAGCAGAGACTTGCTCGCACTGAAGCCATGATCTACAAACTAATTTGTGTGTGCGTTACAATACCTTACTTTCAAATAAAATTGATACAATGGAGGTACCGACTCGGTGAGTTCGCTCACATAATGTCGTGTAACTCTCACTCTAAAACCGTGATTAAGTAAGCACCGATTTTAGTTTTTTTCTCTTCTGTTTCATACCGCGATTGTTTCCCATATAGTTTAATTAATTTATTTTCAATTTCATTGTGTGCATAAATTACGTTTTTTTGCATTCGCACGCAGTCAGCCCTTTTTTCTCTCTGTTGCTGACTTGTGAAATCTCAGTGTTAATCGCACTGTTAGAATTGCATCAATGATTGAGTCATGTGGATTTCAATGAATGCGCCCTAAATGTGATTTTGGTTTGACGTCATTGGCCTATACCGTTGCTGATTGATGACTTGAATTTCATTCATGAAAAAACAACAACCAAATTCTCTCAATGAGAACACACAACATTTGTTCTACATTACATAATACACGCTCTTTATTGAATTAATGCTTTTTTTTGTCATCTATCTAAGTTCATAAATATTTCTAATTGGAAGGCAATAAATAGCTTAAATTTTCACCGAATAAATAAATAAATAATTTTAACACGAATTTTGAATTCAATAAATTAAAATGGCTATTTTTTTAATTTCGTTATATTTCACACTGCCGTGTCGTGAAATGAAGGCCAAATCGTTGGTTTTAATTCTAAGATGGTTCTATTCTTTGTTTTTTCATTTCATTTCTTTCCACTCATTTAGACACTAGTAAATCACTAAATTTGTATATCAAACTCCAACATTGACCTTCTTGACGAGGAAAACCCGAAAATATCTATGTAAAGTTTGATTTGAATGGTGTGAAAATATTCCGATGGAATCCGTTCGAAATGGAAAATTCATTTAATCTAGATTATACTTTGGAATGTCTATGCATCTATTAAACAAACTAGCAACTATGTACACAAATCGAATTCAATTTCTTTTGCTAAACTCCAATACGGAGCAAAGTCTATTTCATGTGGCAAAGTAAGATATGCACTCCGCCAACGGTGACGACGTCGGTGTATTTTTTTTTTGTGTATAATGCAACCAATTGTTAATTTTTTGACCCCAAAATTCACAATATTTTTCTAGAGTTCTTTTTTTCATGTCACTGGGTCTGGGCAAAAATGAATCGTATTCTTTTCATTCTTCTTTTGTTTCTTCTGTTCACATCACTCGGAGTGCATTCTCAATAGTTTCACTGGATTCTTCTTCTTCTTCTTTGTTTTTTTTTTCTCGTAGAATTCTTGCATTGACATTTTAGTCACACATTGATGCACAATACACACACTGATTGATTGCTTTGTTCATGGTTTAATGCATTTTTCTGGCCTGCACCAATTTATTGATGTCGTTGTATGTGGTGAGCATGGCCGGTTGGTCGGTGTCTTCGGAACTGGAGCATTTTTTATAAATATTATGGCAGTTCTTTCCATCTTGTCCGTCCCGTGCTGCTCGCATATACTTGAAGAATCGCAATATCTCCACGTTGTCACTGGTCGGTTTTCGTAATTCGTTCAATTCTCTGAAAAGAGGAAAGAAAAGACATGCAATGCATATGCAAAATGAAACAAATTCGCATCAGTAAAATCGTCTAAAAATATAAAACTTATAAAGAAAGGTTAAATTTTGTGTTGTCATGCATCGATTGCGAACAATTTCACCATTAACATTCAATTGATTGTCATTCTTGCCGCGAGTCGAAGTGACATTTCCATTGCACTTTGTCAAAATTCCACCGAAAGAAGAAAAAAAAATCACAGCGGTTCATAAATCAGTGAAGCGATAATCATATACTTTCGCTTTTCTTCATTTTTGTGCATAATTCCGTTTTGTGTGTGTGTGTGTGTGATTTACATAGAAATGGCGAGCAAATATTTTTCGAGAAATTGGGAGAAACAAAACGACGAATCAAGTTTCACACAACCACAAAAATCATTGTCGTTTCTAGTGAAATTGAATCGGCAATCAGAGTCGCTAATCAAATGTATCTTGTCAAATCAGGCTAACAACACGTACGATTCACTACAATTTGTGATGCGAAGCATAAAATGAAACCACAGATCGATCACAGACTATCATTCTGTAGGGGAAAAAACACATTCGTTTTGAACATCTAATTATTAAGTTGTGAACAACCATTTCATTTCGCATATGAATTGACTGTTTCTTTTCGACCAGCTTCGAGGTAGAGATAGATAGTCATTGACCGTCACCACTTCGAAGTATATTTTCTATAGAAATGTATAATACGTGTACTATCTATGGAAAATCTGATTCTATTTAATGGCCAGTAAGTAGCACGTGATGGAATAATAGATGACAATTGACAAAACGGCACAAAAGTAAATACGCGACACAACTCGTATTCGGTCGGGTCTTATGAATGAGAGAAATTGTATGAATATTCATCATTAAATTGACCACAATTCTTTCTTGGACTTTTGCATGTCAATACCAAAAATGCATAAAAGTTTGTGTGTTTTGGTTTCATAAAAAAACGAAAATGAAAACGAACAAGAAAAAGAAATATGACGGTAAAATAATTGCCGAAACCATCATGCTAAGATGTTCCGCATGTTTCATTTCAAAAGATGACCTCAGACATTCATCATCGAACGTCATTGCAACTAAATACAACACATACAGTGTATCATGAACTTGCTCATGAATTCCGTACGAAAAACACCGTCATATTTTATTTTTCTATGTATTGGCAGTTTTTTCGTGCTTTTTTTGGAGAAAATAATGAATTTCAAATTAATTTTGTGGCGACCCTTTTCCTATTTGAAAATTCCGAGAGGATAATGCATTTGGCGGTTTTGTTGTTGCTATTCAAATGTGTTTCTTTTTTTGATGTGAAAAAACCGAAAGATGAAAGAAGATTTGGTTGATTTGAAAACAAGATACACGTCAATTTGAATTCCGCAGCCGATGAGCAGCAACGGTAACAGTGGAGACGACGATGACGACAACGACAACAACAACGACGACCAACACACAACATCGTTGACGGTCAATGCAAAGCGAAAATGAAAAGTGTATTGAATGTGGGTCAGATACGTATCTCTCTTTCTCAAGCACGTATGGCATTTTTATTTTCGTGCGCGTACCGTTCGTTGATAAGCGTTTGTTGATGTGTGTGTGACTGCGACTCTCTTTAACAAATTTTGACGAATGAAATGGCAAAAAATATTATTATTGGCAGTCCTCTTAACGGTTTCATTCTGGCAATCGTTTATGTTAATGATGTGTGCTCGCTCGATTGATGAATAACTCGCATCAGTCTTTAACTTACCGACTTAATTGCGCTGATACTAAATTACTGTACGGCATATATTTGGCCGGACTTGCATACATCAGACAGACAAGTTTTTCACGACACGCTTCATTACCGCCGGCCAGGTTGAGCTGATGGAAGACGGCATCCAGTCGCGACAGCAACGGACTGTAAAATGGATCATAATTGGTGAGTAGCATCGATGACGCTGGAATGTCATGGAACACTTTGAAATCGTCTTTTTTGCTCTGCAGCGTTTCTTTCCGCGAATTTTGTGCATACTCCGGCATTGCGTATGTGTTGGCGAGCGTAAATTGTGGTTTCGGTTCGGCGATATCGTACATTGACAGCATATTGTTGGCAGCCGGTGCGGTGTCGTATGCACTAGGGTCGACGTTTGCATGATTGGCAGTCAATTGCGGTTGGGCTGGATAATTGTATCCAATACCAGTTCCAGTCGGTTCTTCGGGTGGTGGATTATCTTTGAATTCGAAATCATCGACCGTTTCAGCTGGATGACCAACTCCCGACGATGATAAAAGACCTGCAAATTTGGTAAAGTTAAAGAAATCGGCATTTTTTTTATTGTAATTTAGTGAAAAGAAATTTCACATATGTATGCAAATCGGTCTTACCTTTTCCAACCATTTTGCCTATTGATCCGATAATGCTCGGCAGAAACATGGCCAGCAGCACGGTTTTTGCCACTTGAACGCCGATAAAGATTGGCCACATCAACTTTTTAAAGCCTATAAACCAAGTCACAAGACGAATGCAAAGTGAAATTTAATGAGATGGAATTTTAATTTATTTCGACGGCGGCTGCTGAGCTTTTCTAAATGTCAAAGCTATTAGTCATACCTTTAAAGAAGAACAAACGGCCACCGGCTGGCACAATGTTTTGTATTGCCGAACTGCTTCCCGCCTGGAAAATATACTTTTCCGTAAATTTCTTCACACGATTGATAACTTGATCGCTGAGCAAATAGTCAGTGATAAAGTTTCGTTGCTGGTCGACCGATCGCTTTTGGATGCCATTCTGTTTGACTATAGTCAAGAAATCCATTGTCATCTCGTGTAGCTCCTGAAGGCTTTGATTGATACTTCGAATTGCTTCTGTATCATTTGAATCCTCTGTTTCACCGGATGTTTCATCGGTATCAATGCGCCTCTCGACTTCCACTGTTTCCATTGGATTCAATATCGTCACGGGTTCTTCATAATTCGTGACAGATACAGAAGGAGCTACAGAAAAAGGAACTGCAGAACCAAGTACAGCAGGAGTGGCAACCGAAGTGTATTCGGTTGGCGGAAAAATGGGCATAAATCCATTTTGATCATTGTCTACCGCTTTGGAATACCGTTGAAAGGGCTGAGGCGAACTGAATAGTTTATGTTGACTTGAGTTTGATGCCAAGACAATAATTAGCAGCAAAATCGAAAGTGTGTATTGCCGCCAGTTGACTCGTTTTTGACACATGTCGGATGTGTTTGATGTGTGAAAATATTTCCGAATTTTATATCAGAAACATGAAATCTGAATGTCAATCCAGCTTATCATCTATTTTTATTGCTGTTTTTTCTTTGCTTTATCTGTTGCTTTGGTCGCCGATTTTTTTCTTCTTCTATTTTTTATGACAATGTTGATATTGTGGCCCGTTCTCAGCGTTCAATATAGGCGTAAACACGAATCGAACAAAAATGTACACACTTTCTCTCGCCAGAAAGATAAACAACTGACAATCAATGCTATTGATACGTCATACTTGAAGCAGTCATGCCGTCTACTTTAGTATGCAAAAGCGTTTTATGAACATTCGCGCACGAGCATATATGCTAAGACGCTGTTTCTTTCATTTTTATCTGTCTTTCTTTTGTTGTAATTGTTTCTTCCACTCTTCTTCTGGTTTTCCCTGACTCTTTCGGGTTTTGTTTTTTACTTCGCTTTTGTATGACTACCGCTTCGTGTCTATATATGATGAATGTCCAGTTGTGTCGTATCGGATTTCTTTCTTGGTTGCAATCAATGAAATGAAAATATCTTCCGCATTCACCTGTAAATGGAGAGAAAAAAAATAACAAATTGAAAAGAAACTGAGATGAGAAATAGTATGTGTGAGTTTTCGATGCACGTATGACATTGGCCGCACATGAAATGTAAACCGGTATATTGTAAAGGCCATATGTATTTCTAATTGTTCATCGCTAACATCGCTCTATGCCGCTATGTGTTTCAGACAAAACTTGAACTTGACGACGACAACGATGATGAAGATCTTGTGTGTGCATAGAGTACCATTTTTAAGTAGAAATAATACATGTATGTAGGTTGAGTAAAGAAGAAAGTCGTTGAATTGCCGGGTCTCACCATGTTATTAATGCAACGGTGAATATTCTAGAGCTGTTGGTTAAAATGCATCTAACTCGCAATGTTACACATTAAAAACAGGTGTCATAAAGGCACACACGCCCATCGAACGCATTATCTTCATTCAATCGATTAATTTAGAATAGAAACATTATCTGGTTGAGAAAGAAAGCGCACGATTGACACCGCGTCAATATGGTAAAACGGTGCGTCTTTTTATTAGTGCTCATTTAAAGCGCTGCTTGTTTCAAACGATTGAGTTAAAATGTGCTCAATCATTAAATGCGATTTTTTCTATGTCGGAACAAAAATTAGCCATGTAAATGGAAGGTCAGTCAAAATGATTTGACTTGATTTTGCATGAAATCAATATTCATTTATCATTTTCACGCTATGTGTGAGTATTCGTTCTTTCTGTTTGTCGTCGATCATTAGCCATAATTATAAATTAGACACGATTGTTTGTATATCATTACTTTCTTCATCTTTTCTTGTTGCTGCTGGTAGCAAATCAAGTCTTATTAAAAAGTTCAGCAATAAACATAGGAAAATAAAAATTTGACATAATAGAATTGGCGAAGAAGAAATAGCGTAAATTCACACATTTATTTCGTTGCAAAGTGACAACGCCACAGTGAATAGATGAAATGCCATGAATTTGGCTATTAAAACACAATGAGGAAGGTGAAACACCGAAAAACAAACAAAAAGCTGGAAAAGGTCATCCATTGGGTGTGCTCGCCTTAGCTGCAAAAATTAGCGGGAACAAAACGACAAATGATGTTTGGAAACTTCTTTGAAAGAATGAACATAAATGCGGCAATTACCATTGCAAATTGTATTGTTAGCCCGGTTTTCAAATTGAGCCCGAACTGGATGATGATGATGCAGGGATTCGGTAATTATGATTCAACTATGTACGTTTGCCAAATGAAAACCGATTTCTTATTCTTGGGCCGTAGGCCGAGAGAAAGGTGGTCATCAAAACAATCGTAAACAGATGTCAAAGCCCAACCAATACGGCGAAAAATGGTAAATCGCCGTCGTGAAACCCGATCGTCACGGAATTTGTGTGCGGTTTTATGGCATGTGAATATAATGCGTAAGAATGAGTGAAATGTGTGAATTTCCGAAGATGTCGGTGTGTCATCGACAGTTGTTGACATGCAAATATGCTAAATAGTTCCGCTCATTGGCATATTTATTGTTGAGTGAAAGCGATCTATTCCGCGCATAATTGATTATTGCGATTAACCGGCAATGGAATGAGAGAGAGAGAGATAGAAAGAGTTCGCTATTTGGTCGCTGCTGTGAGCCATTGTGCAAAATGCTTTTGTTTCAACGAATTTTATTTGAATTTCAAATGATCGCTGTGTCGTGATCATTTTTGTCAATCAAATCGTTCATTGCTGATGGGCTGTTGAATGAATTGCGGCGCGTCATGAACTTGTGTGATGTGTGAATGAATTGAAATGAGAGTCCCCTCGGTCCATTCAAATCATCAGTCTTTTAACATACATAGCTCATTCAACCGTTTGTTTCTTTATTCTTGTTGAAATCGCCATAGCGTTTTTGCTCCAGATGCAATCGCTAGCAGCTGATATACCCGCCGTTCGCTTAGATTTATCGCACTGACCTTAATTCTTACATGCAATTTCATCATTTTAATTCATTTTCTCTTGTAATGCGTGTGTGTTTTTTTATCTTTCTATTTCACACTCATAGATCCCTACCGTGTTTTCCTATTAGACTAGTATATTCATATCAAAAAAAAAAATTCGAAGTTTTTGTTCTTCCTCTCCCTCCGTATAATTTTTTTTACTTATTTCGCATTTCATTTCGAAAACGATTCCGCGCTGGCAGAAAAGAGAGGAAAAAAACAACAAAACAACTCTCAAAAATGATTTTTACACGATAGTTTGCTTTCTTTCTCAATGAGTGAGGAGAGAGGTAGGTGTTGCGCCCAAGATATTCACGGAAAAAGAAAGAAGAAAACGATCTGCGCGATGTTTGCTAAAAATATGTTGTTTTTCCCCCTTTGCTTAGAAGATATCCATGATGCAAACACTATGATGATTGCAAGCATGCATGCATGCATAAAGTTTGGCGGATGCGCACGCGCTTTCTCCAAACGATAGCGATAAAAACAATATTTACGTTCGGCATATCACGAAATCGAAACACTTTTTATTATGTTATCATTTCACTTCTCGATACAGATACGCGTATTTGCTTCTCTGCTTCTATTTCGACAACATTGTTTCTTTCCTCCATTTTCTCGAAGATGAAATGAAAGCGAATATAAGCTTTCGATGGAAAACTTTGGAGATTTTTTTTCTTCTGCCACGCACAAAAATTAAATTCCAAACAATAGACTTTGTCACGCAAACAAAACAAATGAAATTATAAATCTCAGCCCAAAAATTGGATTTGAGTGCGCGCTCTCGCAACAGATGGAAATGAGACAATTCAGATGAAGGAAAAAAAAAACAAATCATAATAAACAAAAGAATCACTTGAAAGAATAAACATTCGGTTTCACCTTTTCAACAATTTTACGTTGTTTGTCGCAAACGTATTTGTGTGTATGTTTGTTTCCCGTTCTTAGCGCCTATGTGGCTTTGTGGCTTAAATTAGGTTCATTCACTAACGTGTTATTTTTTGTCTTATCCAACGGTTTTTTTTATGTATGTAGGTTCCTCGTGCCAAAACTAGCTTTTTCGATCGCGAAAATTCCACACTGAACACAAAATACACAAATTAATTTGCTTCCAAAACGCCACTGTAGGTTCGTTTTTTCTTTTCTCAAAATAATATGAAAATCACTGTTTTAATCAAAATCGTATTGCTGAAATGTGATCGATGTGATTCGAAACCAAACTGTAAACTAAACGACATATTTTGATCTCAATCCAATGTTTGGAATGCACGGAATAACGAGTTAATGCGATATGTGTCGTAGCACACCGTTTGAACACTAATTCATTTCACCAAACTACATGAGCCAGGTTGCTCGCTATGTCTTTGGCTCACCACTTCTTGCCGTCAATGTCTTGTGGCTGTGTGTATATATGTGAATGCGTGTAAATGCCTTGAGTCGGCCACGCATACTTTTACATCTGGCGAGAGAGCGAACAAGCGAGCGCTCACCACCAAGAGAGAAACGAAAAATGCATGAGACTCATGCCATGAGCTCCGATTTGTTTGAATTTACTCATGCAACGTTGTCGACATTTCATTTTTGACTCTCTTCGCTGTTGGTCTTGCAACGTGGTTTTCTCGTTTTCAACATTCTAATATACATTCACCGTTCGCCAAAACCAGAGAGCAACCGACAAATACTCACTCGCAATATAGCAAGAAGAAATGTGTATAAACACGCGCTTGATTTGTGCTAAGTATTTTTTTGCTGTTTTACTTCAATAAAACAATCGATTCTGAGTGTGTTCATCATTCACGACCAACAACAACAACAAAACAAGCACAGCAGAACATCAATTCAGAGTAGTATGTTTTATTTAGACTAATGCATGATAATCAAGTGGACTAATGAGCGTTGTCTAACGTTGTTTTAACGACAAAAAAAATCAATATGAAGGACAAAAAAAAATGATTTCTAGTGCCACTTTTGCACATCGAGAGCTCTCTTGAATTGAATTGTATGCGTTTTTCAATACGTACACACAATATTCAATAAGTGAGTATTCATTTGTTTCGAGCGACTCTCTTTTTGTTTCCCATTTCGTTCGAGTTGTTCGTCTTTCTCTTTCGTTGTTCGATCGATCGGAATGCAACTTTTCGACGATGTGGTAAATGTTTGCAATCATTCGCGCGCTCCGCATAATGTGATCATCGTTTTCGTCAGAAACACACTCACATATATATGGCAACGAATCAATCTTTGCTAAAACTGTATGGGTTCCGCAAGCATGTAGATGTTGTGCTCCATTTTTTCTTGTTCAAGTGCTTGCTTCGTGTTTTTTTTTCTCCAGCTTTCTTCAGCATATCGGAACGAGACCGAATCAATGGCAAAAATGAATCGAAATGTGCGATTACGACGAGCAAAAAAAGATGACGATTATGACAAAACGTCGATAAATGCTGTGCTGGTTGTGCATGTTCGGGATCTTTTTTTCTCTTCCACATTACTCGATCGTTCTTTCTTTCGATTGGCTATGACCCAATAAACTAGTGCACCATTAATTTATAATTCGTTCAGACTGCCTTCAATATTGCACCATTCATAATCTATTTCGGTGGCCACAGACGGTTGCTTGGGCCATTGGCCAATACTAATCGTCTAAAGAACATGTACAGCGAAAGTTTTTGCGGTGGCCCACAGCATGAACGAAATCATTGGCAAAATTGCTTAATCGGCTCGTTGGTGCTGTTCAAATCGTGAAAATCCATCAATTTTTTTTGGTTATTGTTGTTTCTGCTGTGCGGGTCAAAAAAAAAATACTAATTTGATGATCAGATATAATTACGTCGCCCGAAGGCTTTAATCAGCTTAATGCTACTGTTAGTTTAATCCATGTTGGTTACTTTCATGCACACGGAAAACGGTGAAAATGGCTTTTCAAATCGTTTTCACCGAGTTTGAACCGAAAAAACCAATCTAGATTCGATTCACGGACACGAAGAAATGACATATCATATGGAAATCGATACGGATTTCATACGCCCTCCAATCGAATGCAGAATGAAAGTCTATTGACTTAATGGAGCGTGTTGTAATGAACCATTGCTAAAATATTGAAAAGATAATAGAAACGAAATTGACGGTTATTGCGGGTAATTCTGAGTTGAGATTGCAATTTTCTTCCAATTTATCGAAATGACAAGGTGACAGTTTTCTTTTAGCACGGTTCATCAGTATGTTTATTCTGAATTCTGAAATCGCGCTGAAATAGTGAAAATATGAAAATGTCGCGAAATTTATGCCCATAAAATGATAATCTTTATTGTGTGTATGTGATCCGCTTTGTGTATGAATCAGAATTTAAATGGATTTTTTATGGTCTTTGGATTTCATCGATCGAATTTTCTACTATCTTATCCGCTTCGAAAAAGTTTCTAACTTTCGCTGGCTGGCCAACATCCAGAACAGCTACAAGATTCATAATTAATTGAATAATAACAATTGCCGCACAAAATATTTTAATTGCAAAAGAAAGTTGAAATCCTTCCGCTAACGTGCTGAACAATGTCTATAACGTATTAGTCGTCATCGCGACGCGCCGTGCCACAACACATACGCAATCTAAAATTGCTAATGGAAAGTTAAATGAATACAATTTATTGCGGCTGTTGTTGATGTTACACATGTTACCGATGGATAAGTAAAACAAAAAGAGATTTGCGAACGCGCGCATGCGCCTGCGCACATAGACGAAAAGAACGTCGTTTTGAATTACCAATTTAATCGACAAAAACATGTCTATAAAAACCGAGCGCTGATATTTATTGAATCAAAGTCAAGGTTTCTTTCACTCTTTAGTTTTCATGAATCATGATCCAATTGGCTTTGTTTTTTGTTTCAATGTTAGTTACGTGTTAACATAATCAAGTGCATTGTTTTTTCCATGTTCAAATCGTATCAAATGTAAAACATTTTAGATGAAGAAATAGAAAAGGCAGCGATGAATTCCGAGATTTGTACTAACAATCATCAATTTAAGAAGTTTCAAACGATCACGAATCACGATCGAAACAATAAAACAATGAAGTTCAACGATTTTGTGATACAATCAATGTGGTTGTGTGCCGGCGAGAGCCAACATCCAACGTATTTTCCATTTGATTAAACATCCAAATGCTAAGTCACCGATCAAATCATGATAGTAAACCACCCGACTGTACTACGGCGATCTGCTCGATGGATACTCCTCGAAAAAATCAATTTACCATTTACAAACTCAACTACAATTCGATTTTTCAATCACCGATATTCTGACGAGATTGTTTGTACGGTGGCGTGTATTTGCACAAACTCACCGGATGACTGCTCGGCACATGACTCATGGAATATACATTTCATGGATGAACATAGTAATCCGACTTTGATTCAATTTCAAATAAAATTCCATATATTTTTATAATAACGATGTCTTCATTCAATTTATGCTAATTTAGTAACATTTTTTTTAAATATCCCAGCTACAAAATACAATGTTCATCGATTGTACCGCGCACGATCCAAACATAGACACAAAAAAAGAAAGATGAAAAAAACAACACAATTACCTACCGCAATAAAAGTGATCCAATCATAATTTCTCAATTACATAGTACGTATTGTTTCATTTTCAATTTTCTTTCTATGTATTCCGACATATTTTGTGGCGTTTAACACGGCCCATACTGTGTCATTAACTTATTGTTCGACATATATATGTATCAAAATCGGGTTGCAGCACGATGCACGATGATAATGAATTATGGAGAGAAAAAGTTAGCACTCTCTGGGTGTGTGAGATGTGTGAAAAATCAAAATCGGTGTGTATGTGTGCTACGCGTGCTCGCACTTGCACTGTGAGCGAGTGCAAGTGCAAGATAGAGAGAGCGAGAGAGCAATTTCAGTGAGAACTATTTTGTGTTACTGGCATCAATATTATATATATTTGTTAACGTTGCCGCTCACCAATGAAGATAAAAAACCACAGATGTATAAAATGTTTTATTGGCAGCATTTAGAGAAAGTTGTTTTGTCAGTTCATATCTTTCAACTCTATTGATCTTTTCTCTCTCCAGTGTGCGCACACCGATATGAGTTTGTCTGTTTCGATGACTCTTTGTTTGCCACTGTATATGATGACCGGTTGATAAAACCATTTATTCTCTTATATACGTGTTTGTCGTTATTTCACACAAATATGTGTGGCGACCAAAGCGATTCAATCACGGAAGAAATCCAAAGAAATTCAGTAAAACAGCCAACAGCTGAGTCAATCGCCTCTCAATGTTCGTGGCACCCATTCATAATTGGTCACATGGTGGCCGATTCAAATTGTATCAATTACATTCAATTCCATGTTCTTTTTTCCCTCTTAAATTAGTATTACCACTAACATCCATTGAAAATTGTAACAAAAGTGAAGCGAATGCAAATATGTTGGTTTTTCCCATTCAAACCGATGGTGTGACCAAATTAAATTCTTCACGCTTTACCATGCCGCTGAGCATAATTTTGCCTCATTATGCAAATGAATTTATTAGTTTGAATACGGAAAATTGGCGGCTGCTGCTGTTTCGCAACATCGAATTTGTTCTCGTTTGAACGACGAACTTTGAAGTGAAAGCGGCTCCAAACACATTCTTTCTTTCGAGACATGAAAAAATCGTTAAAAAGCATATCTTGGTAAACAGATTTGAGTACCAAGTATCGCTGAGCGTCATTAAGTGCCGTGACAATGAACCACTTCCCACATTCGCTTTCGTTTATAAAATCAATTGACGTCTATCTGCTTAATTCAATTAATTCGAAGCGAAAAGAAGAGAAAAAAAGCGCGGCATTGGATTGGTAAAGTTCACTGTGCCAAGTGAGACACTTTCTTTACTTTCCATATTTTGAAAATGAAAAAGGTATCGCCGGGCAAAATTATGGAATTCTTATGGGAAACGAATAAAAAGCTTAAAGGCACAAAACGATTGCGATGCAAAGCATTCAACGACTTTCAAAGAACGCTCAAACGCTCATGCTGGCAGACTTAAAAGAAACAAACAACTGCGCCGAACTGAAATCCATGTCAGTAATTCATCGTGACGGTGAAAAAAACCCATTTTCAGTTGCATTCTACACTCGCGCCGAGTGCCTGAATTGGAACGCTATTGAAACGAAAATCGGCGAAAAGCATCTTCATTGAACAACAACAATATCTTCAGAGAAAGCCATTCGGTTTTATGGTAAATCCAGCATGTTTTCAACCAGAACCTTTTTCTTTATTCATATTTTCATACCTTGAAAGCAGCCCAGTCAGTGTACTTAAAATTCAATGATAATAAAATATATTGATTAAAAGATAGAGAGAAAAATGATACAAAGTATTGAAGTTTTCCTATTCGCTTTTGATCAAATC